TAATGACAAGCTCGCGGCGCATATGGTAACAAAAACAGAAAAGCGGAGCGGAAAAATTGCGAAAAATTAAGCCAAGCTCACTTTCAATTTCTGTAGCGTTTTAATTATTTATGATGTAAAATAAAAGTTACGTTCGAGCGCTTTTGTAAGCGATCTTTTTCGCACAGACATATTCGTGTGTATGTCATCGAATGCAGCATGGCTTTCAGGCGTAAAACTCATTATGCTGTCACAATAAAAAAAAAACAACATTTTGCAGAAAAGGAAATGTAAAATAAATATTTAAACGCAAAGGCAAAAAAGCAAAAAAAAAAACATGCGTAACTACATAAACTGATACATATCCAACGTAAGATATAAAATTTCCTGCTTGCTTATATGTAAATAAATATACGTTTAAAACACACCTTATAAGTACATTAGGGTTGCCCAAAAATGCATGTGAAAAAGTAAAGTCGCAACTTAAATGCTCTTACCCCATAGGTTTGGGTCGCTTAAAGCGCTAAAAGTTTTCCATTCTTCTTGAATATCAATTTTTTCGATCGGGAAAATCTTTTTCTTTTCAGGACAATTCCAGTAATAATACCCAACTGTTCATTTAACCATTTTCTATTATTACCTATTCTTTTATAGGACCTCTAAAAACTTCAAAAAATGCAATGGGGTACCCATTTGAGGGGTACTTATACTTTATTTCGGTATAGAGCAATCCTTTGGGGTGAGAGAATTAAAATTCCGACTTTGCCATTTTTTGCACCACCCTATGTACTTACTTACAAATATGTGTATATTATTTGCCTGCGTAAGTACATACGTACGCATGTATCTGTGTGCACAGTGTTTATTTTAAAATTGTGCTCGTGTCAGCGCCTCTAAGCAAAATATAGTCGAAAAAAATATGTCGACACTTAATTATGTAAATTTAATTTGTTTGCCTTTTTCCCACATACACACTTCAAACATACGTGCGCACATTGACTATTTAGTATTACATACATATCTGCTCATAAATTTACAATCACACTCGAGCTGGCGTTTATCAAAGCACTTTGCACTCTGCTGATTTTTGCAAGTGTTTGCTTTTGTAATTTAGTTGTGTCACTTGCGCTCAAAAGCACACGAACAATAGCTAAATACAAACATACCCTGCAGAAAAAAATTATCCATTGATAAAAAATAACCCTCTTGTAGTAAGGGATTTCTATAAAATATATTGAAACTAGTTGACAAGTAATGCAGGAGTAATGAAGGAGATCGTTTTCTTTAAACGCGTTTCTATTTAAATATCCAGCACTTCGCAAATGCTTTTTCGAATTGAGGACAAATAAAAGGAAGATCGATATTTTATATTATCATTTTGAAGTTATGTCTGACGTGACCAACTACAGCAGAATCTGGAAACAAATATGAAATCTAATAAAATAATAAAATAAATAAAGTAAATAAAAACAAAAATAAAAATATTTTGTTTTTCCTATTGATATTTTATGTCCAAAAGTCGTTAGTTACAAGCCCATATATTTAAGCATATGAACTAAACTTAACTTTTTTAAATTAAGTAACTCTAGAGTCGAAGGCCTCAGTAGCCAGTACTCAATAATTTTTAATTAGTTGTAATATTTTTTCACTTTATTATAATTAATTTTATAAATAAATAAGTGACTTTTGGCTCCTTCCTAATCAACTTAAATTTAGCTTATAGTTAGTTACATTTCCTGCAGGGTACTTACTATGTAAGCGAGAATAAGTATGTGTGTGACTGGTGGGAGTGTAGGTTATGTATTTGTTTGCTCATACGAGTATCAGTTAACAAAGCCTAAAGTGTCGCGCTCAAAGTGCTTAGTGGCTCATAAAAAGTATAATTAAAGTTGTAGTGGAAAAACACACAAGCACTCATAGCAGCAGGCACGCACCTATATGCATCCTTTGCAAGTATATTTGTAAGGATGCCACGAAAAAGGGTTTTGAATTTAATTTTATATAAAAATCTAGTGAATTCGATGAAAAAAGCTGAGTAGGAGATGTGGCGATGACAACATTTTTTTATTAGAAACGGCCTCACGCTCAATAAAATTGTTGCATTTATTTCAAATGTATAAAAAAATTTAAAAGAAAATACCCCTATGACCTACTGTAGCTCAAATCCGGTTTTTTTCAAATCCAAGGGCCGTCTTGTAGAGTGCCTGTTAAAGATAACCGGTGTTTAAAAAAAAAAATTGTCGCTCACATGCTTATAATAGGCAATCGATAAAAAGTCGATAAAGCAGACCGGCCGGCAATTTTTTGCAGCCACTCAAGAATACGGTCCTAAATCATATAAAACGATCGAGTAATTAGGGAGTATATCGCTAGCATAGAAATTTTATTTTCAGTTTATACAAAAATATAGACAAAAGCGGTCAAAAAGGCGAAAAAATTTGATATTGGTTTTACAGAAATCTTAAGTTTTAATACTAAATACTTAAGTTCAATACATGGAACAAGCCTTTTGAATAACAATTCACAAAAAAGGCATCGAAAAGTAAAAAATCTCAAAACATTTTAGCAACGCTTTGTCAGTTAAAGAGAATTACATCTTTAAAATTCAAGCGAAAATATTTTTTCCACAAATAAATGGCTTTATTACTTGCGAAGAATTGTCTTAAATTTCATAAAAAAACAGCAAGTAATAACCTTCTTACGTTACTTAAATTTGTTGTGCTACATATTTTACTCCACTTTTTATGTTCTGGCTTTTAATGGCGAATAAATTACGTTGACTGCTGGCATCTCGTTAATACAGCTAAAGTAATGTTTATGATAGCTAAAACGGCGCACTAAAGCAATAAACTTTAAAGCCATAAACGCTGCGAAAAGAGGTCGTTGAAATCGTTTTTATTGTTGTAATGGACTTTTTTATTTCGGCAGACAATGGCAACCCTACGAGTGCGTTTCTGCTATAAAAGATCTTTTCGGAGGTGGAGTAAAAGTGTAGATCTCTCTATTTGTCTCACCACATCAACACACAGAACACGAGTTAGAGGTGAAGCTGGGCCAAACCCGTCGAAGCGCCAAATGTTCATTTATTGGAATCAAATATGAGATACTGTTTATCCCAAAATAACGTAGGATATAATATTAAAACTATTTAGAGGTTTCCCTTAAATTGGAAAAATTCTTGAAAACGTCAAAAAAATCGAAACTTTTATTGAGAGCTCAAGATTACTATGAAATGAAAAAAACCGGATTTTTTTCGATAAAAAAATTTGGTTAATTCGATGTTCGACAAAGATTTCAAACAACCCTTTATAGATATCAAAAAAAAAAAAAACGGTGGAAACCGGTTTGCAAAAACCGAGTAAATTACCCTAATACTTGTGTACATTAGACTGCATACAAAAAAAAATCAGTACTGTGTCTTCATTAGAATTATAAAATCTATTATATTTTAAGACGTCCACCAAAATATTTCGGAAAAATATTAAGATTTACGGGAGTTGGGCCGATTTGAAAATACCTCCATAAATGGAGTTTTTTAAGAATAAAAATAGTCTCTTAAAGATTTTTTTTTCTTTAAATCCCCTCAAATGACAAAACGGTATAAACTTAAAAAATTTGCATAAAAACGTTAAAAAAAAAACTAAAAAAAAACCGCAACTGTTTCTTTTTGCCTTGCCAATTGTGTTTGTGTCTCTGAATTAACTGCCGACAGTATACATAATAATGTACGTATGTGTGCTTAGCTGAAAGTGTAAGTATTTTTTTTTTATATTTTTTTGTCTTTTTCTCGTGTTTTGCTATCTCTCTTTTTCAAACACTCAAGCGCTGGTACATTAGGCTGCACTGCTAATGGCAATAACCGATGCCGAAGCACAGTGGGGGTGTGGGATTTTAAAGTTTCAAGGTCATGCACCAACCATCGCATATAAAATGAAGTTCCTATAACTGTAAAAAATAATGCGCGTAAATGCTATAAACATTCATACACAACATATACAGTCAGCGTCAAAAATATGCATACCCTGTATTATCTATATCAAATTTTTCTTATTTGTTTTTTTTTTTTTTTAAATATAGTTCCTTGAACAGCAAAAACCACAAGAATCCATTTTTTTTAATATCATACAGAACTCGGTAAAATGCAAAGCCAAATATGACTAAAATTTCAATTCGATTTCTTAGAAAAATTTTGAGTGCGCAGTTTTGTAGGCCAATTGCCGAGGGTGTTTTGCACATTTGCTTCCATATAACGCATTAACAAAATCGTTTTCTATATGAAAGAAGGTACGAAAACGCGACTTGAAACTTGCACTTTATCAAACTAAAATTTAATGGGCTACAAAATTGCATACTCAAAAAATAAAAAAATTTCGTCAAAAATGTATTGGTATTTCTTGAATTTTCCCGAGATCCGTATGAAATTAAAAAAAATATTCTCGTGGTTTTTGCTGTTAAATCAACAATATTAATAAAATATAAGAAAATTTTTGTATAGAAAATTTAAATAAATAAAATTGTCAAAACATCAGGATACGCATATTTTTGACGCTGACTGCATGTGCTTGTATGTATGAGTGCGGGCCATAAAAGTACTCTAACCGCGCTGTCGTTTGAATGTTGCTGAAAGTGAAACTGCTGCGGCAAGCAAAACACTCAACGTCCCCTTAGTAAGCTTACGGTAATGTACAAGTACACTACTCCTCTTGGCTTTAGAGTCTTCGCAAAGGGGTTACTTGCTGCGCTCTCTGCGTTTCTCGTCTTGTTTATGTTCATTTTTATTGCATTACACATAAATCGTTTTGGGTCTTATCGCTTATCCACATGCAAACACATTCAAATAAATCGACAGTTGAAATGACTCTGAACGGCATTAACTACTATAGGCACACATAGACTACATATCCACTCATGCTCCAAATGATAGTAGTATTACGGCTTGTAAATAAAAGTCAACACTTTGCTCGAGTAAAAAACAAAAAAAAAGGGTAAGGCTGACGATAAGCAATCGCCTTTGCGCGAAAATGTTGCAAATCGCAGCTGCTTTGCAATTGGAACTGCGCTTGTGGGTGTATTTGTTCAGCGGAAGGATAAATGCATTTATCTCCGGTATAGCCAGCGGTATTAGTAACCTAAGACTAAGCGCAAGTGAGTGGTGGATTAGAAGACGGCAAAAAGTGATTAGGAAGCTTTAAGATTTATAGCGCGCTGTGGCTTAGATGTAGGCATAGACTTAGCTTAGGAAGGGTAAAGGCGGAAGAGGAGCAGAAGTAGGAGGAGAAGTAAAGTAAGGAAGGAAAAACGCGATCATTGAATTGAGCTAAGTTAATCACAGAGTCCTGCGAATTCTAAATAGCCTCAGTATTGTTGAAAGGGCAGTTAAGAGATTATTACTCATACGCCATGGCGCACAATACTCTTTCGAAGGCGTGAGGAACCAAAAATAGGTTTATTATTGGAAATGCGTGGAAAAATATATGTATGTGCATTATTGTTTTAGTTTGAATCGAATACATTTCCCATTAATTAAAAAAAAAAATTTACATTTTATATTTTCACGCTCCATATTTTGTATGAGCTTTTGCAGTGCTGACTTCAATGTAGTTGAAATAAATATTCCTTCGAATTAGGGGAAAAAAATCTTTCTGCCTACGCTTTTTTATCACAGTTTTTAAATTTTTTATTTTCTGTTTATTCCTTTCAGCGGACAGCTCATTTCTACTTGCCAACGCACAGATTGTGGATTTTCCGATTGTCTATTGCAATGAGTCCTTTTGCAAAATTAGTGGCTACAATCGCGCGGAAGTCATGCAGAAGTCGTGCAGGTGAGTACAAGTGTAGAGAATATCTTTGTTTGAAATGCATTGGGGCCAAAAATTTCATATGTTGCCTTCTTGTGGGTAGATTCTTCTTTGTATAAGCTTTTCATGGCAATTAGGAGGGACTTGAACCACTAAAAACTGGTATTTTGTTTTTATTAAGCGCTCTAAATGTTATTTAAAGGCACGAAAATAGGGCCCTCCATCTATGATCTGAAGAAAAAAACGAAAGTGAAAAAAAGGGTTGCCTTAAACGCGATTTTAAAGCATAAGAAGGGACGTCTGTTAGTTTGATCCCAAATAGCAGAAAATTCTACACAGATCATCCTAGCGGAAATAAAATCCACTGACCTAATTAGTTTATGTCTTACCCGGAATGGATTTCGTCTTCAGTCGTCTGATCTTTAATGATCCCATTCTAGGTTGCGGTTTTTGCCTTTAAATAAACATTGCAATTTCGTTTGAGAAGTACTAACATGTTTCTGCAGCTTTAGTGTGGTGCATACTTTTAGGCTCAATATTGGTTTACTCACTAAACGTGGAATGTTGCAATGAGTAAATGATCTTAACGATCCGGAATAGTCAGATTTTGTTAATAGAATATCTAGGATGGTAATGAAAAATATACTTCTTGAATTCTGCCTGAGTACAAACCTCTGTATCGTCCCATACAATCGGACCATAAATAGTGGTTTGCTAAATACTTACATCAACTTGTGCGCCACCTATCGGCAGAATTTTTAGTGAAGTTATTCCTTTTCATGTACTTATGTAATATACGTTCTTAAGCAAATCGGAACTTTCGAGTACGCAGTTTTGTAGCCGTCCACAAAAAAAAAAATAAAAAAAACAACGTGATTTTGTACCCGGTTGAAACTTGCACTTTATTAGACTAAAATTGCATGGGCTAAAAACTGCATACTCGAAATTTTTTTAGAAATTCTGACTAAAAAGTTGAACATTTTGATGAAATTTTTTAGCATTTTTGTGAACTTTATATAAAGTGTGAAACTTTGTATGGTTAATATTATAGAATTAACTATATTTTCATAAACAAATAATACAGAAAATTTTTCATTAAAATAATTGTGAATATTATATTAGAACAAGGAGTACGAAAAAAAACATCAGAAAAAAAAAGAAAAAAGAAGAAAAGCTGGAAAATCCGCAAAGCAAATATCTGAGAAAACCTGAGAATATTCCGCAAATCTCAAAAAGAACCGAAAAAATTGCGAAACCCCGCAAAGAATTTACGAATCTATTAATTTTTTATCAAATCCAAAAATATCAGTTTTTCTTGCCAAACAAAAAAATACACGATACCCAAAAAAGTACCAGAAAAAAATTCATAATTCGAAAAAATCACAGAAGAAAGTCTCGAAAAAAACCAAAAAAGTCGTTACTTTCTTATTTGGCTATGCCTTTTAATCAGTTTTCATGCACAAAATTTTAACAGTAAAATTTTTTGAAGATCCGAATTTATCTTCGAAAAGATGCTAACTCAATGTCCTTACTACATACGTACATAGTATGTTTCTTAAATTTCAAACAAAAGCAACAGAACAATTTTTATCTACATTCACCGATAAAAAGTTTAAACATCGACCCCGCCCCCTTCCAATCACGTAAAGCAGCAATTTGAATAATAATTTCCAACCAAGTGCGCAAGACGCAACAGCATTAAAGTCGAATCTTCCCCATAGACTCCTCATCGGTGGTCTCAACAACAATTGAGCAGTGAAAAATTACCACCATTAGCTTGCGTTCCAACAAACAAATTGCTGCAGTGCTTTGGCTGCTTATCTTATTTATTTTATTTATACGACCTTCGCTTGCGCCCTTCCCTCGTTCGCCATTTTCAATCCAGCTTGTCCCCGACTATTTACAATACAAATCCCGTTCATTAGCTACAACAGCTGAGCTACGCAGTGGACTCCTCCCTAGCTGCAAGTGTGCCAACAAACACTGCCGAATTCACTGTGCTAAATAAACACTGGTATTTGACTGCCCAGTTCACTTGATGAGAATTGTTTTCCGAAAGGCATAAAATGCATAAAAGCTTTTTGTGAAACCACCAGTTGAGGTAAGTAAAAAGTAAATGGCGACTTAATTACTGAATTCTAAAGAAAAAAAAATCACGGGTGCTAAAATTAAAATAATGTTCGGCACATTAGAGCTAATGTGAACCGATACAGAGAGTAAAATTGGTTCCACAAATATCGTGACTAACCCTTTCTCGCACTCATTTTGATTAACAAGAACATCATTTCTGCAGAAGAGTTCTAAAGTGAAGTCAGTTGTTTGACAAAAGCGTCGAAAATGTGCAACTTACAGGGCAATTTTAGCAACTATCTTGAAAGCTATTTACTTTGTCTTTCGAAAGACTAATGAAAAGATCTGCTAACGGGGAGATCTTAGGGCCGGTTGCCCAATGTCTGGTTATGACTACGTCCCAGTTAAACATGATTATCGACATTTTCGACGTCATGCATATAACATGTGATCGGTAAAGCAGTCCTTGTATTTAACCAGAGCTTCTACCTCCGCTTAGTGCTAATCAGACATTGCACAACCGGCCCTTATCGTTATGCTGTTGACCTTTTCACATTAATTTAAAAAAAAAAATTTTTTTTTTAAATATTAATAAGATAAAAAAACCAAATTAAACAAATTAAAAAAATGTTATTAACAAAACACAACAAATTAAATTTAAAAAACAGAAAATAAATAAAAGAAAAATGAAAAGGAATAAGGCCAAAAATGTTGCCCGAAAGATGGCGCTAGAGTCTAGATATTTGGGAAACTCCATATTTATGGTCCGATTTGTTTCATATTCAGAATGTATAAATACAACTTACTTGGAAAGAAATAACTCCATAGAAAATAAAGCAGCTAAGTTGTTCGAGTTTTATTTTGCTTACTAACCACTAATGAAAGCTTGTCTTTAATATTTTTTTTAATTACTTGTTTTCTAATTATTTTAATTTGTCAATTTATGAACTTGAGCAACAGCTGAAAACACGCTAAAAACATTCTTGTGGTCTGACCTTTTCCCTTAATTTTTTTCTGCGTATTTCAAGCACTCTACCTTCTATCTTTCCCACCCTTAGCGACGAAAAATGTTTGGTAACTTCTGCTCCGTGACTATATTTTCTGGCCAAATGCCGTTTTAAGCGCCTAAATGAGAACTGAGTAAAGGAAAGCAGTATTAATAAAAGCGAGTGAAAACAAAAAGAATTCTAAATAGAAGAAGGTATAAACGCAAGCAGCTGCTGGCGGTATATCGTGAGCCTTTTGTGCAGCTAAACATTGCTAGGCCATACATTTCCTTGAAAATCGTTTAGCGTACGAGTGTAGAGAAAACTTGCATTTCAGCGAGCAAACAAAAATAGTCAACTCATCTTCGTCAGTCTAAAATTAAGTAGCACAAGGTCTAAAAATAAGCTGTAGACTTCAGCCAAATAAAGCAGCTGCTTTATTCACCTACACTTAGTGCAACGCAAGAGCATGGAAGTGCGTGTGGAGTGCACGTGTACAACTGCTCCGTCGACTGCCTGTTTACCTGCGAGCTATACATTGGCAATGCACTTTGACTCAGCCCCCACATCATCGTCCAATCTCACTGTTCCTCAAACGCTTGCTGCTCGCGTTGCTCATTCCCAGCGATATGAACGTGCTGAACTGTGCCTGCTTGCCTGACCCAACTGGGCTACCTTGGACCTCAGTTCAGCTCAGCTCAGGTCAGCTTAACTCACATCGACCGCACCGAGTAATTAGCGGCGTGACAGCGCCTGATTTACCGTTAACATGCGGCAAATGTTTACAATCGCCGCAAGCAGTTAATTTCTAAAAATAGTCAACAAGCAGTTGGACCCTTTTAACGCATCTTTAGCAAGTGTACGCGCACACTCATACCCATACATACACATTTATGCCGGCACAAATATGTATCTGCGTAACCACATGACACCCTTTCGGTTGCGTCCGTACACTTTTGCTCGCTGATTTCAAGCCGTAAATTTCCTGCTTTTCCTCGCCTTGTGGCGGCGGCAGCGGCGGCTACCTGAGCTGTAAATTGGCTTTTAAAGGCCAATACCTGCTACTCACTGCTGCGTTGATTTCCGCGGCTTTCGTTTCGCTATTTTGTGGGTTGTTTTTGCGTTTTTCTTGGCTGCCTACTTTTTAGCTCTCCAGCCAGCCACTTCCGCCGCTTGCCAGCTACAGCTAACCGCCGCATGAACTTTACTTGCCCCTCTCTGAGATTTGTGTGTTGGTTTGGGTTTGCAAATTTGTTTTCGTTCTTTTTGCAGCGGTTCACCAAAGTTATTTTTAAATATCCTTGGGTGCGCGCTGCCTCCTTGCTTGCGTTGTGTCCGCGATGCTATTTGCTACGATCTGGCCACTTTACTCTGCCTTTTGGCCTACTACACAGTTGATTTATTCCGCGCGTGGCTATTTACTGTTATTTATGTTGCTCTTATTTTATATATTTTTTTGGCGTTGCTCCTTATGCTACAATAAAATAATTTTTCGAGCACTTAATTAATTAATTTTTTTTTTAAATTTTGGGCTCGCTTTCATTTGTTCTTATAATATCTCGATCTTTTGCTATCTCTCGAAATAATAGACTGCGTCTACCGGATAGCCTCTTCCACCTTCATGACCCCATCATTCCTAAGCTGTTAGTGAACCTGACGACGAAGATTGGTACGTCCTACTTGGCAGGTGGCTTTATAGCGGCGTCGAAGCCATTGGCCATAGCACATCATCAGGCACACAAGACGCTGTTCGCTGTATGGTGAGCTCAATACTGGCGGTACAAAGTACTCGGTGCTTGCGCTAAAGGCCTTCTGGCACTTACCACTTCAGTAAGTCGAGCTAGCTTTTGCATTACCCGCTCTAGAGGGTAACCTGGTGCTAGCTTCCGTTGCGAGATTATTGTGGCCGCAATGGACAAACAACTTTTATCGAGTTTTTAAACCGTTTTTTAAACCAAAAATGTATGTTTTGGTTTCAAATTACCTAAAATTATGTCATATTTTTAAGTAACCAAAATTTTATGACGAGCTTTTAAAACACCAAAAATTTATTATTTGTCCTTTACCAAAAATACATGACCTTTTACCATAATAATTCACGTCCTGTTTTTAAGTTTTTCTTATTTTGAAATTGCCAGAAATGCATGTTTAATTTTTAAATTATCAAAAATATATTTTTAATGTTTTTATTTAACAAAAACTTTTGCAATGTTTTTCAATGACCAAAGCCTATAGCCAGTAACAACAAAAAGTTATTTAAATAAAATCGCAAAGATTTTAAAATCAAAAAGTTTGAAATCACAATTAACCCAATTTAAATCATTTTCCGCTTTGCCTGCCAAGCTCTTCCACTCTAACACTTTTCCAATCATGACAAACCACGTAAACAATGTTATCTTTTATAAGTCATGGGCTTTCCTTTTCTCTTCAGAGAGGACAACCGAGGGTAAACGCAAAACTAGACAAAACTATCAACTAAAATAAAATCAAAGCAGCATTCGATTGCGAGCGCCTAAAAATAGACAACGCTGTTGCAAGTTTAGTTGAGTGTGTGAAACTTGTGTGTGTGTGTGTGTGTGTGTGTGTGTGTGTATACGTTGCATTGTCTGCTTGCCAGCACACACATTGTAAGTCGCAACTCAATTGTTGTTTGTTTTTATTATTCCTTTTATTTTTGTTGCTCCACAGCAAAGCGGCTTAGTGGCTGCTGTTGATGTTATTATTCAATTGTTTTTGTTATTGTTGTTATTATTGTTTTTGCTGTTATTGGCTCTGCGGGTGTTGCTATTGTCACTCGCTCTCACACTGCGGTTGCGGCTGCGTTCGGTGGTTGAGAATTGCGGTGTGCTTCTGCTGTTGTTTTTGTTGTTGCTGTGTCAAATTTTGTTTGCTTTCTTTGCCGCTGTTTGGCTAACATTGGTTTTCTATATATATTTTCAATGTGTAGCGGTTGATTCTGATGGCTTTTACACACACACATACACTTACGTATGTTTTCGAAATCCCCAAGGCTGTGAGTGTGAAAAAAAAAAATTTAAAGAAAGTAGCAAAAGTTGAGCGCGAATTAAACATTTTACCACCAAGCCATTTACGCTCTTCAAATTTACCTGAATTTCCCACACTCTCACTGCATACTTATATGGAAAATTTCATCAGTCACCTAAACTAAAACTCACAATCAGTTGCGTGTCGAACTAACAGCCAGCCAGCCAACCAGCCAACCAATCCTGCCTTCTACATTAAAGCTATCGAAACCGTACGCAAGCAAATACCCCGTTACCAATCAGGTTCACCTTCCTCCTCGTATCCTTGTGTCGTATATCTGTTTTGTGGCACAACAAGCTTCGTGCCACTGCCCTAGTAAGCACACTTTTACTATTTACTTTCCAAGTTTTCTTTGTGCCATCGCCGCCACAGCGCCTTTCAAATCCTTTTTATTCTGCAACCCTCGTTCGCAAAAAAGGATTTTTGTCATTTCTGCCCATTTCTGTTTATTTTATTGACTTTTGTATTTGATTTTCTGTAAGCACTGCTCTGTCCCTTTCACCCTCTTCGAAATAGTCGGTATGCCTTCGCCGATTTTCGCTTTTGTTTATCGAATTTATTTATATGGCGTGTGCTCGTTTCCCTTTTTGCTTCTGTGTCGATGTCACAGGGCTCCTATCCACATGCCTTACTAGCACAGGAAGGTGGTAGTTTATGAGATTGCCATTGGTTGAATTTGACTTTTCAACTGTCTTAATCCCACTCTCAATCTTATTTTTAAACCTCGGTTCTTTAACTAAAAGTGGGAAACATTTATATGATTAGAAATTTTTTGGGATAAATTATGATTTTAATTTTTCAAAGATGGTAAAAATCAGCAAGCCTGGAACTCATTAGAAAGAAAAAATAATTAATATTAAAAAAGGTATAGTCCCTCTCTCTTACAACTTTTTTTTGTCCTTTCAGATGCGGCTTCATGTATGGCGAGCTGACAGACAAGGAAACGGTCGCGCGACTGGAATACACGTTGGAGAATCAGCAACAAGATCAATTCGAAATTTTACTATATAAAAAGAATAGTGAGTAGTAAAACTGAAGAGGCAACGAAATTTATGTAAAAAAAATTCGCATACAAAAAAATAAAAAAAAGTAAGAGTAGGTGCTAGCTATTAAATTTGTGGGAAAGTAATATTTTTTAAAAATACTATCCAATAAATCTTATTCTGACATAAGTAAACGAAAGTATCAAAGAAACGAAGTAGTATGTACTTGGTTGTAGGAAAAGACGCTTGTGAAATTTTTTATCTCAATTGTAGGCACGATAAAAATTTGATCTTGAATATTTTGTGAGTATGCAATAATGGAAAGTGAAAGCGGGGTTTACATTTTGGATTCATCAAAATCTGGACATACATTTTTTAAAAACTGAATGAACACATTTAGTCATTTAGAGGCAAGACACTAAATTATGGTCATTTATGTCCGGACATAAAATTTATGTCTTGATATACAATTTATGTGTTAATTTAAAATTTTTGTCACGACATAAAATTTATGTCTTGATATAAAATTTTTGTCACGACATAAAACATATGTCCACTTTTTTAATGACTAAAAATATGTGCCCAGTCCATAAATTGCCAAAAAATAATCTCTAGTTCTTATTTTCCAACGATTACTCCTGGGATAATATTTTTGCTGTTGAAAGAAAAATTTTTTTTTCACGAAAATTCGTTACAATAATTTTTAAAGTATTATTTAACCGTATATATATGTATATTTGTGTTAAGCTAGTAATATACATAAACAGCAGAGTGTCGCTAAATATCCTTAACCGCTAGAAGTGACAATTTTCGCATTAAAATAAACGACAGCACACAAAAGCCATTAAACACGAAAATAATTATATCAACAGCCACACTTTAAACTAATTTAATGCATAATTCATGTAGCCGCGAGCATTGCGCTAATAAACAACCTAAATTACATGCAAGTATTAGTGTGCCTCCAGCGCCAGAGGTAGCGGACATAACCGCATTTGGAACACTTACTAACATTTTTTTTTTTTTTTTTTGTGGAAATTCGAAACAAAAGGTCGCAAAAATGCGCGCGGCTTATATATACATATATGTATACACATGTTAGTGGCACAAAGGTGCATATTTCACTAACAGCAGCAAACAATTTATAATATTCTGCTTGGTGAGCTACCTTTGACTGCTGTGGCGTTAGGCCGCATAACAATCCCAATTACATTCATTACCGTTGTTGCGTGTGTGGTCTACTATGTATGTATGTATATGGTTAACCCTGTATCATATGACATATTTGTAAGTATAGTATATTTGTGCGCTTTTACGTCCGCTTGTTGTTACTACTGCCACTTGCACCGCTAGCTAACAGTAACTCGCTGCAAATGTGTGAGCCTTGCGATTCAGCGGTCGTTCGCCGTGTCGTATACGCCATTAAGTGGGTTAAAGTGGCCCATTAGGAGGCGTCTCCAATGTGAATGAGGTCAACGAGATGCGTAGCACAATGTAGTTGTTGTAGGATAAGTATGGAATCGCGCTAAGCAGATGTGAAAGGGCATTGGTCGTTCGACAGCTGTTGCACATGGAAATGAGAGTAGAAAACCCATTCCGAGAGAACCGGATTTATGCATGCATGTGAAATTGATAATCGGGGAAGAAGCGCTAATAGCCAACAAGCACCAGCGTCATTGTAAATCCAAAATTCTGGTTTTGAGGGCTGCAAAGAAACCATGAATAGGAAACGTTTCTGACACCATAACAAATCCAAAGAGAGAGAGAGAGAGGGAGAGAGAGAGAGAGAGAGAGAGAGAGAAGACAGAAGGCGAAGACTGCTGCGACTTCAATAAATTAATTCAAAAGGCGTTTGTGAATTGCATAGATACATTTTGCTAAAAAGCCGAATGAAATAATTGGCTCATATTGCATACTTTTATGCGCACAATTCGCCTATTTAATAAAATACTTAACGCTAGTGCTCAATATCATAGAAAATTGTGGTGAGTAGTACTTAAGCCGTATTCAAATGCACTTAAGTATCCGCTTCACAAAAGCGAGCGTTCAACCTTTCAGTGCCTTATCTAGTTATTGCAATCGCATATTGGTAAACGCCCGCGAGCGCATCTACATACGTTTTACTTCCACGCCTTTTCACTTGACACCGCAATATGCTTCCTGTTCGCATTGCCATTGAATTCGATTTAGTCATTTCCGTTGGCTGATAAGCGATGAGCGATAAGCTATGAGCACTGGAAATGCATTTTACTGTTGCTTCCGCTGATGAAATTTAAGGCACATGGGAAGCAAAAAGGCGGAGGCAATTTAAAGTGGAAAGCAGGCGCTTTAAATTGCAGTAATTACATTGATTTTGCATTGTACTTCCTAACTCGTTACACTTCATTATTCTAAGCCTGCAGCGCTGCTTTGTTCAGCAATAAATTTAAAATTTTTTTTGTGGCATACTTTTAGGCGTGAAAAAATATCACAACGGGTTAATTTAGATATTTCACTGCCTTGCCATTAAAACCGCTGTATTTAATAATAATATTTTTTTCACAACTGCATAACTTTTCATGTTGTGGCGAGAATTAAATAACCGCTGCATACATTTAGGATCAACGCAAAAAATTATTTATGAGTTATTCACCACAAAATGTTGAGCATACATGTGTATGTATGTCTAAATTAGCATTCAATCGGCCAATATCAATAGCAACAGGCAGAAAATTATTGAATAAACCCGAATTCTCTAATTAACAATGGCTTTTTGTTTAAATTTTGTTTGCATATTTTATAATTGCATACATTTGGGATGGCTACAAAACAACATTTAGCTGGTTTTCTGGTATGGCTGCATGCATCATTTGTTTACTTTTTCATAATTGCTTAAAATAATAATTTGTGTATCAATTACCGAAAATGCGATGCAAAACTGTGTGCCGCAGCAGCTTCGGATATATTTATGTGCATATTTTTAGGCATATAACAGAATAATATGCAATAAAGCATTGTGAATAAGTAAATAGTTTCATGCTGTGTGCTTAATTCCATAGAAACAAATCAATGAACTGGAAAGAAATTCAATTTGCCAATAAATACAGAATTTGTTTGCATTGTTGGCAAATACAAAGTTGTTTTGACTTTTCATTGCACATTTATTTGCGGGCATAAAAGAGCAGAATTGTTAACAAAAAATGTGGGGAATTATAGTCGAATACATACATTTATTTACAAGACAATGGAGTACAGATGCAATTTTTTAAGTAAATAATTTATTTAGCATTGGGATTGTTGGGTGAAATTTCAAAAGAATTGCGTTAACTTTATTTCAATTTCAAGTTTATGTATTTGCGTACATACTGAACCTTACCCCTTTGTGTAGGCAGAAAATTTCACTCCGAGAAATAATTATTGTACTCATTCCGCAGTGTTAAATAGAGTCCGAAAAAAGAAAAAGCGGTCCCATTATGTCGTAACAGTAGCGGATAAGTGAAAAGAGGCTTCTGAAATGCGTTTTAAGATATCACTATGCAAGATTTTCCGACGATAAAAATATGTTGCCTGAAAGTGAGTTTGCGTTCAGAACTCCAAGCCGCAAGCTATAATGTATGTGGGAGTAGTAGTTTTTTTGTGATCAAACTTTTAAACAGCCTGTTTAGCAATTCTCATTCAGCTTATGAAAGAAATTACACATATAATCCATATGCGTATATAACGTTATGGAACTTTATCTAAAAGTCGTAATCGTCTCAAGCTTATTGGCATAGACCGTACTTTTCACATAGCTTCAAAGAAATAAATCTCCTTGGTGGGAATTTGACCTCGTTGTTTCGTGACACAATGTGTCCTGGAAACCTGGAAACTCTGTTCGCCATTGTTTCTTGCACTGTGTGGCAAGTGGCACCGGCTCGTGGGAACCACATATTGTCCAAGTCCATGTCATTTAATTCAGCTGGCCCGAAAACCACACTAAATAGTGACTCGTTTTTATAAATCCTTTGGATCACGTTTATACGTTGTTCAACTAAGAATCACTTCATGACTAACTTTGCCAGAGCCTGTAGTACCAAATGCCTGAAAAAGATCTGTATCACCCTTGAATCACACCATAGAATAACTTTTGTATTGTGCTGGGGTAGAAATAATCAAAAGCTTTACATCCTCACTGCATGAGCTCCTCCCAGCGTTGAGGCTAGGAAGCTATAAGTAGTCATCCAATTCAAGTTGGCCAGGTTTGCAATTGATTTTTCGTCAAGAACGATTTCCGCCACGCTTCGCCTGCCTATTGCTCCTCCGACTTCATGACATCACGACTTTTAGCTGTGTGTTGGAAACTCAGAATTGCACTGTCTGATTAGAACCAGAACATCTGCCGGCTCATCGTGGTATGCCCTGCATACAGGCCGAAAGGGAATATTTCCCATGGCATCGAATATTTGGCTCCCGGAAGATCTGACAGTAGCGGGTTTATAGCAAGCTATCTGTTTCCCGATTCCCCTGATCGCCTTGTATGAGAATACCTTTCCGAAATTACTATCTCCTTTGGAGATGATTTAGACGTGGGGCCCGAGGTATAGAATCCAAGAGCCACTGACTTAGACGAAAAGGCAGACATGCTATTTGAGGCAACGTGTTAGGGCATCGTCGGCTGAGCTCCCCGATTCAAGATTAGTAAGGTTTGCGACAGTGCTGAAATGACCTCTAAGGGTTGAAGTAAAGTTTTTTTCAACTTGTTTTGTGACATAGTCGGATAGAGATTGTCCGTGGAAGAGTTGTTGGAGCTAATGTCATTATTACCGTCTGCGGTCCGAAATTCACTTAGGGAAAGCGTTAGAGCTGCAGGTCCAGTCTGCCATATCAAGGCCATTCTACTTGGTGAGGCATCAGCATAGCACTACTCTAGTTTCACTCCATATGTAAATACCCCGGGCCAACTATCCAAGAGGTACGGCTACACATAACAACTTTGATTAGTCAGAGGAGGATGCGGAAGTATTATCAGGTATTGGGAGGGGGAAATTTGACGGTTATCTTGGCGTGAGAGCAAGAAT